AGGTTCCGAAGGTTCCATGGGTCTGGCAGGAGGACCTGAGCCAAAGCTGGCCGCTAGTGAGGTCAAGGTCTCTCAGTGGTGGCCTGCCCTAGTGTCGTGGGCTGGGAAGCAGCCTGGCCCCGGAGCAGACAGGGGCAAGCTCCGCGTGGCAGGAGGCCTGGGGGCCACTCTCATCATCGTGCCCCCAGAAACATGCAAGGACTGGGGAAAAGTCACACGCTAGTAGAAGTCAGTGAGGGCCCAAGGGAGTCTGAACCCGTCACACACACAAACAGGGCCCCTGGGACACTCTGGCCACAGTGGGCCACTGCTGGATTGGGTGCACGAGTGAACCGCTTTTATTCACAGAGCTGCTGACCCAAACGTGTGGGGTTTTCCCTCATGCCAACGAACGGTCCCGTTCTCCCGACGCCAGCCCAGGGATTCACTCCAACCCTGACATGAATCCCAGTGTCGGCGCAGACCCCACAGGTGAGGGCTCAGCCCCACAGGACTGCCCCCTTCAGACCCCAGGCACAAGCCCCCCCGTTGTCACTCCCACTTCTGAGCAAATAACGGGCTATAAATTCAAGGGTTCGCCCCACTCCCTGCATCCGCCTCTAGTTGGATGATTGGCTGGAACAACTTAGCACACTCAGGGAGGAGCTTTGCATACTGTTACCTGTTTATTGTAAAGGATGGGGCAGCCAGAGGCCATGGGTGGGATGGGGATGGGGGTGAGTCCGGAGCCCCCACGCCCTCGCTGGGCAGGCCGCCCACCCTCCCGCGCTGAAGTGTGTTCACAGCTCGGAGGCTGTCCGAACCCCAACGAGTTTTGGTTTCATTATCTAAGCACAACTGATTAAATCACTGGCCACTGGCGACTGTCACTCACCAGCCCCTCTGTCCTCCCCAGAGGCTGGGGGTAGGGGAAGTGGGCCGACAGTCCCCACGCTAGACTCCTGCCTCCTGCTTCTGGGGACCGGGCCCCACCCGAGGCTGCCCAGAGGCCCCAGCCGCCACTCATTCTGTGAGCACAGAAAAGACTACCAGTGCCAAGGTTCCCAGCGTCTTAGGAGCTGCGGAGGAAGACTAAATGTGCACGTGTTTATAGGGCAGTGTCCCAGCTGCACCTGCCCCATCCAGACGCATGTGACACCCTGTGACCGCGAGGCCGCCTGGGGAACCCGCTCTTGGGAGCTCCTGCCCAGTGCTGGTGGCCCTCCCCACCCGGAATTCAGGGGCGCGGGCGTGGCCAGGGGGTGGCCAGGGGCACAGCAGGGCCAGGACCCGCCCCTGCCGCTGTCTCCACTCCGCGCGGGGAAGACCCTGGACGCGGGAAGACTGTCCACCGGAGGGCTTGACAATTCAGACAAAATGGGGAAAAGGAGAAGGTCAGGAGGTCAAGCGGTGCCGCTGGCCCAGAGGCCCCGTGACCTCGCTTCAGGGAAGTGGCTTGGAGCTGGAGCCGCTGCTCCCCGCACCCGAGTGGCGGTGTAGACGAGCGGGTTCAAAGTCCAGCTGCGCCCTGCTCAGAGACACAGGGTCCTTACCCCGTGCCTCAGTTTCCTCCCCACAACTGGGCAAACGGCCGCCCGTCGCCCAGCACCGAGGGCGCAGAGGGCACCGCGGAACCCCCGGGGTCCCCGTTGTCACCGCGGCCCGCCGCGCGCGGACCCCAGCAGGACGCGCTCAGCTTCTGCACCCGCGGCCACAGCCAGGCAATCCCGCCCATCGATCCGTCCCGCCCCCTTACGGAGTCACGGCGGCCCCGACCGCCCCGACCGCCCAGCCCCTGTCGCAGCGATCGCTGCAGACGGTCCCCGCCGGGCCCTTTGCTGGGACCCCCGCAGCCCGCTGTCCGCTCACCTCCGCGCACGCGCGTCCAGCCTGGGGTCGCCCCTCCAGCCTCCGCGCACGCGCGCCCAGCCCGCCTCGCTCTCCGACCTCAACCCCAACCCCGTTAGTCTCCGCGCACGCGCGTCCGATCCTCCCCGCCACCGGCAGCTAGCGTCCGCGCACGCGCCCCGGCCCACCGCGGCCCGCCGGCGTCAGGCGCAGGCGGGGCACGCCCCAGAGGGGGCGGGGCGGGGGCGGGGGCGGGTGACAGGTGCCCGCGCAGGCGCCCTGGAAAGGGTGCGCGCCTCCGGACGCGCGCGCCCCCTGCTGGCGGGGCTTCCCCGTCCCCGCCCACCGCCGCGCCCCGAGCCTGAGAGGGCGTGAGCGGCGCGCACCTGCCGGGACGCGCGTGCAGGCCGAGGACGGCGCGCGGGCCTTAGGGCCTCCGGGACGAGGACCGCGGGCTCCCTCAGCGCGCGGCCGGTGCGCGGAAGCCATTGGGGAAGGGAAAGCGTCTTCGTTCCCCGAAAAGCGGCGGCTGCGGGGGGCGACTCGGCGCTCCGAGGGCGCCTCCCGCCGCGAGGGCGCGGCGCTGGCGGACAAAGACGCGTTTCTCCCGCGTTCAGAAAAGAATTTTATTTTCGTGCTGGAAGTTGTTCTGAAGGCCCTTTCCCAGGACGCGGCCGAGAAGCCGCCGGGTGGCAGGTGCTGGGGCGGGGCGGGGCGTCGCGCGACGGCGACAACCGCGCGGGGACAGCTGGAGACGGGCGGCGTCCTGGGGCGCCTGGCCCTCGCCCGCTCTCCGTCGCGCCCTCCTCCGGGACGCCAGTGGGACCGGGGCGAGAGGCGGCGGCGCCGCGGTCCCCTCTGGGCACTCTCGGGACAGAGGCTCGCGGAGTCCGCCCTGCGTGGGGGGGGAGGCTCCCCGAAGTGCCCCGGAAGCGCTGCGAGTTGACTCGGTTGGAACGGCCTGGCGGGGGGCGACTGAGAGCATCGGGATCCGCCGCGCTGGCCTGTTTCTCCGAAAGGGCGTCTCTGGGGGTGGGCATGGCTCCATACACAGATTCTGGTCTCTTCCAGGGGTGGGGGGGAGCAGGCGTGGGAGGGAGGGCCCAGGCTGCTCTCTAGGGGGACTCGGACGGCCGGAGCTTGCTGGCGATGGTCTGGCTGACCTTGAGCAGGGCCGCCTGGAACTGGGGGTACTCGTTCTTCACCTGGTCGAGGATGGTGCTGATGACGGCCAGCCGACTGTCCAAGCGCCTGTGCTCGTGCAGCAGCGACTGCTTGGAGCGGAACAGGAACACGTACCTCCCGTCCTTCACAGCCTGGAGGTGCTTGACCCGTGTCTGCAGGGCCACCAGCTCCGAGAGGTTCTTGGGTGGGACAAGAGACCCCGCATCAGGTTATGCAATTTGAAAATAGGACACCCGCTGTTCCCGCACAAACTCAGGACTGGAGGAAATGCCAGGGGGAGAAGGCGAAGGACAGGGATTCTCCACACGGTGGAGGAGAGGTTGATGTGCTGTGAGCTGGGCCTTTTCCTTTGCCCATCATCTGCGAGACATTTGATAGCGCTGGGTGCCAGGCCCGTAGTGGACTTCCCTGCGCTACCTCCCCTGTCTCTGCTGGTCAGGCTCGGACCCTGCAGACTCACCTGACCCTCTACTGCTCACACCACATCCAGTCCAGCAGGAACTCCCACTGGGGCAGCTGAAATTATATGCAGAATCCCACAGCTCCACACTAGCCTCATGGCTACTGCCCCGGTCCACGCATCACCTCAATTAGGCCTCCCGTGTTCTACCCTTGACCCTTCGGCATGAGAGCCAGAGGGATTCTGCTAAACCCAGAGCCAGCCTCAGCCCCAAACCCTCCACTGTCTTCCCACTTCCCTGACAAGAGCCCAAAGTTGAGATCACCGCCACCCCCTGGCTGCGCACAGCATGGATTGTGGTCTCTCTGCCCTCAGGTCCAGCCTGCTGGCCTCTGACCGCCCCTAGAGTGGCCTCCTGCCCTGCTTTACCCAGCCGGCTCGCTCCTTTGCCACCTTCAAGTCTGGACTCAGATGTTTTTCAAAAGACCCAGCCGTCAGTGCCCTTTCTCATTTTCATTTTTCTCCGGAATATTTATCACCACCTAACACAAGCTATCTTTTTCATTCGTTTTGTTTATCACGTGTCCCTCTGTCCCCAAAATGTAGCCTCCAGGAGCCTGCTCTGTCGCCTTTGCGCCCAGGGCAGTGCCTGGCCCATAAAAGTTGTGCGATATTATTAGATGTTAGGGCATATGAGGTGAGCGAGTGATCATAGAGTGCTGGGCAGCACTGGGGTCCCTGCGCTTAACTGGGTCAGGAGGAGGCCTTGGCTGAGGCGTGATGCTGCTGCGAGGGGCAGGTTTCATGCCTGGCCGCTTGTGGCCCTGGTGCCTCAGGGGACTGGCCTACCTGTTGCTTAAGGGCCAAGAGCCGGTCCAGGTCGGCCTCGAGCTCGTCAGTACTGGACTGCATCACCGACAGCTGTTCCTGCTTCTCCGAGAGGGAGCTGCTCACGTGCTTTTGAGTTTCTTCTAGTTCTAGGATGGCTTTGGTGCACTCCTCGGTGGCCTGGGAGATAGACAGGACCGTCCCGGGACCCTGCCTCCTGATTACTAGGTAGACAGAGTCAGCTAGAGTGTGGGGAGGATCCCCACGAGGGCAGAGGGAGTCCCTGCCCCTCAGACACTAGGACCTGGAGGGGTGAGTCCCAGTGAGAGGGCAGGTAAGCCCACCCTGCAGACTGCTCCCCAAAGGCAGGCATGGCTGGGGGAGAGAAATGGGGGTCCCCCTCTTGAAGCAGATCTGTCTGCAAGGGCACAGGGACCAGGGGCTGCTGAGCCCCTGTGTGCCAAGAGTAGGAAAAGCAGATGCCTGGGGCAGGAGCTAAGCCTCGCGGGGTGGGGGGTGTTGGGGGTGGGCATGGAGGAGGCCAGACTCCATCACAGTGAGGTTGGGCAGCGGGGGGGGGGGTGGGGACACAACTGGTGGGGTCCAGTGGATCAATAAATTAGAGGCAACAGAGTGACTCTCAGGGTCTAGCTGGGGACACGGGAGAATTTGGGCTGTGCAAAGGGCCAGTCTGTGCATGAACGCTGGCGGTCGCTGCGTGTGGCGCGTGGGGGAATGTGTGGCAGGAGGATCTGGGCGCAGACCCCTAGCTGGAGCTGAGCGGGGGGCAGGGAGGGCAGGGCAGGGTGGCAGCTGGGGAGCCCCAGGGGTGGAGAGGAGTGGACATCATGAGTGACCAGTGTGGCAGAGAGGATTGGCCAACAAGGACCAAGAAAAGGCCATGCTGCTGCCTCCGGTAATTTCCAAATGAGCAGGTGGGTCAACCCCATCATTTTCAGCTAATCTCTCCTCATTTAGGATTTAGGCCTTCAGACGCTCTCCCGACAGTCTCCATGTAATCCTCTGGACAGCTCTATGAGACGCGTGCCCCTTCCACAGGTCAGGAAGCTGAAGCACGGAGCTGTCAGGCAACGTGCCTGAGCCTCGAGTGGAACAGCTTGCTGGAGGCCAGCGGGGCTCGGAGACCAGGTTCTTTCTCGGGTGAGCCTTCACCTACCCGGCGGGGGCTACTGCTCATATATCACCCGGCAGAGGCAGAAATGCAGGCTTGGAAAGGTCCCACATACGACCAAGGTCACACGGGCGGAGGGAGTCTGAGCCAGAGGCCAGTGACGGCCGAGGGAGTGTGTGCTGGGCAGGGCACACGCCATGTGCTCGCTGATATGGCCTGGTGCACGAGGGTGTGGGCCTTCCGAGTGTCCACCAGCCTGTCCCCCCACCAGCTGGGCTCAGAGACACAGGGACTCAACATGAGCCACGGTTCAACACACCGTGCATCCCTGACGCCGTTTCTGCGAGGTGGTGGGTGAGGGGCTGAAACCTGGTAGTCTCTGGCCCTGGGCTGTACCGCTCTGTGGTTCTTCTGTAAAACCCAAGCCGGACCCCCTCAAGGGCACAGTGACAGCCGCTGCATCTCTACCCAGAACTGGCACGTGGGTTGTGAGGCTCAGGCCCAGATGGTACAGGGGACAGCTGGCTTGTCCGGTTCCGGAGCCAGGCTCCTTCCCCCCGCAGCTCCCCACCTTCACTTCTCACCTGGTCAGACCGCCCCACACAGGAGCCCTGACTCAGCTCTGGGAATGGGGGCAGGAGAAGGCAGTGCTGAGAAGCAGGCTGGCAGGACAGAGGGACAGGGTCCACGGCACGCTCCCTCTTGTCGTAGGGCCGCCTACCTTGTGAATGTCCCTGATCTTACGTCGCAGCTCTGTCTGCTGCTGGCGGAAGGCCGTCCGGGTGAGCAACTTCTTGTCCATCTTGGCCTGCCCCTTGGCCTGGGTGGAGATGGTCTCTCTGCGGGCGACGGCCAGCTCCATGTCCCGGATCATCTTCTCCTGCTGCTTCAGCAGCTGCCCGTGCCTGACCTGTGTGTACGGGGCAGGGGGGCCGTGAGGGAGAGCGCCCAGCACCACCTCTGCTGACTCTGTGGAGCCCTGACCTGGCAGGGGACCAGCAAGGGGGATGTGCCCGAGGACGGAGGGCTCTGGAGCCATCCCCTCCTGGTCAGGGTGAGTTGAAGGTCCATGTAAAGAGTGCACTGACAAGGGGAAAACTAGAAACTGGCAGAGGCCAGAGAAGGTTGGGAGACTGAGGACCGCCACGTGCAGCCTGGGTGGGATTCTGGAGCAGAAAAGGGATGGTAGCCAAGAAAGTGGGGACACCTGTACCAACGTTGATTTCTTAGTCGTGGTTTTGGGAGATGGTGATGGGAAGGGTCTGTGGGACCAGGCCTGGGGCCCGGGTTGTCACAGAGGCTGACTGTAAGGGCCACATGAGGCCTTTCTCGGGTGTTAGAGGAGTGTTCCGTCTCGGTCGTGGGGACAGAGACATGGGCCCGAGCTAAACCCGTCCAGCCGGACATTGAAAATAAATTCATCTCCTTGTGTGTAGTCAGTGAAGCCAGTTCAGAATAAAAAAGGATAAACGGGCAGGAACCCCCAGGCCAAGAGCGGTGGTGGGAGACCTAGCCCACCGGGGTTTAAAGAGTGCCAGCGGCCTCATGCTCTGCAGGGGCGGGAGCCCAGGGCGGTAACGGCACAGATGGGCTGTTGACAGCGCGGCGTCGGTTCAGCGAGCAAGTCCAGATGATCTGGGAATGCCAGCGAGACTCACACCCCAGCTGAGAGAACAGCGATGGGCCCCTGCTTCACGCCATGTCCAAAAATTAATTCCAGGTGTATTCAGGATCTCAAGATGTGCAAACATGTGCAGAGAACTTGGGAACATATTTGTGTCATTTCAAGCTGTGGTGGCCGTCTAGAGCAATCTGGGAAACCCAGAAGCCGCGCAGAGGGCAGACACGCCTCACGGCATGAATCGTAACGACTCCGTGAGTGGGGAGAGACCCGGAGCAGAGGGAGAACGTGTGGGACGGGTGCCAAGGCGGGGCTTAGTAACGGTGACATGCCCAAACTCCCCTGAGTTGCCAAGAAGTAAGAAAATGGAAATAGGAAATTGAGGAAGTACTCACCACACACACGCACACACACCCACACACACACCCGCTCAATAACCCATAACAGAAGACAGGTAAGTACGAAGCTTCTAGAAGAAAATATAAGAGAAAAACCTCTGTGACCGTAGGCAGAGCTATGATTTCTTAGATGCACCACCGCAATGATGCACAGAGAACAGAGCTGGGCCTCACCGACGTGAGGGGTCTCGGATGCGTTCTGGGGTGTGAGAAAAGCCGCACTCGCGATAATAGTTCACACTGCGTCTGCGTCTGTGACATCCTGGGAGAGTTGGGGACTGGGGCGCGGGATGCAGAGTGCAGGGGGCACGAGGGGACCAGCGGGTCATGGAGATACTGCATATCACGAAGGGGGGTAGTTACATGGTTGTACATTTTTGTCACAGCTCACGGGACTGTACCACCGGGGGCGAGCTTGGTTAACCCCCTCAATTTGAAAATAAGGCCTTGTGGGCTGATGACACCCCCAGGTGCCCAGGCTGTCGGGACGTGGCTGTCCTTGAGCACCTCTTGGAAAAAATGATCTGAGGGGCTCTGGTCAAGACTGTACACTCCTCCCTCCTGTAATCCCACTTTGGGGAGTCTGATCTGCAGCAAACCCCAGCAAGAAAGGAAGGTACGGCAAGCACGGGGAACCGGGACACTGGATTCTCACCAACCCAGGACGCTCGAAGAAGTTAGGATACATACGCAGGACATTCTGTAACTGTTAAAAACCTGGCTAATGTCCGTATTTTTTGAAAAATAAGTTGCCAAGCTAGACGTGCAGATCCCATTTTTGCGCAGGAAAGGAAGCAGCCGCACGCCGTGGACAGAGGGAGGGGCACGCCCGTGTGTGCATGCGCAAGCGCTTGGGGTGTGTGTGTGTGTGTGGTGGGGGGGGTCTGACCTGCAGCAGCCAATGCATGTGGCTTCCAGGGTCTGAAAAGTCAGTTAAATGGAGCATTTTAAAAACTTATCAGTAGCATATGCATTTGATCAGAATTCCTCTGAATGCCACAGGCAGAGGGGTCCTGATTGAAAGCGGCTTTGTGGAAGTGATGCCCGCCTGCTTTTACTACCTTCCTTGCTTATCCTAGGGCCCTGATTTAATCACCAGCTGTTTTTGAGGGAACAAAATCCAGCTCAGGATGACGGTGGAGAGAACTAGAGGCTCCCACGGAAAAGATGGGTGTGTTCTCTGAACACATTTCCTGGCGAGACACCTTTCCTCGACAGTAGGATGTCTCTCCCCAGTGGGTCGTGAGGTTCCGGGGCCCACCCGCCCTCAGAATCATCAGAGTGCCCGGACTGCGTGGGCAAGGGTACAAGAGTATCTCGCGTAACACCACGCGCAGGGCTGTGGGTCTTGTGGTGTCTGTGATCCTCTCCATGTGAGAAGAACCGAAGTGGACAGACCGTGGGCGGGAGGTCAGCAGGAGAGCAGCCCGGAGTGCTTGCCCTTTGCCCTTCCCTGGGGATGGTGTCCATGCCACTGGCCAAGGTGGCCCGTGTGGTCCCGGGGGATCCACCTGGTTCCCAGGCCCCCAGAGCTCCACCTACCTTCATCCTGTGGATCTCCGCCTTCATGGCTCGGATCTCTGTCTGGCCGGTCTCTGAATCAACTGAAGCCCGCATCTCTTTTGCCAGCTGGATCTTTTTCTCCCAAAGCATGATCTGGTGTCTTTAAAAGTGGGAGAGGCAGTGTGAGAGTGCGAGACACTGAGGAGATTTCTTTCTGATGCTTCTGTGAGCTCATGACCTAAGGGCTTGCTCCAAATTGAGACCTGCAGTGGACGGCCAGAAGGCAAGGGTGAGCAGAGGCCGAGCATGGTGGGCTTGGGGCGGGCTCAGAGCACGGAGGCCAATATCTGGGACCCTCACACTTTCTCTCTCTCACTTGGCATGTTTAAATACCCAGGCACTGAGTGGAGGGCTTGACTGTCAAACAGAAACAAATTCCCCCATTCTGTTACCTGCGGGTCAACATAAACCCCCAGGCCAAGGCGATCTCTCAGATTCCTGCCCACACAACCCAGGGCAAAGGGGACTCTCCCTCCCTGGTTGGCGGTGCTGTCGTGGCGTCATGTGCAGGCACAGCTACGCCACACCCGAAGCCACCATACCTCTGTGTGCTAAGGATACTTCAGTTAAAAGGAGAAGTTCACATAGCAGCAAAGACGGACGCTCACCGCCTGGCTTCGATGTTTGTGCCCCTCTCCATGACACCCAGCACGATGGTGTTTGTTGCTGGCCCCTCTGGGAGGTGCCTATGTCACCAGGTGCAGACTCATGAAAGGGTTCAGCGCCCTTAGAGAAGAGACCCCACAGAGCACCCACAGGGACACAGCCAGAAGCCCAGTATCCAGAAGAGGCCCTCACTCACCCAAACCGACCCCCTGACCTTGGACTTCCAGCCTCCACAACGCTGACCGATGAAGTTTATAAGCCCTGGCCAGAGCTGTTACCGCCGCCTGTATGGGCAGCAGGCTCAACCGAGCTGGAAGGAGCTCGCGTGGGCTCTGACCTGGCCCGGCGGGGCTGACTCAGCAGCCAGTCCCGCAAGAAATGTGGGTCCACAGAAAATACATAAAACTGGTTCAGAGGGCAGCACAGAGAACCCCTTTTTTGTTTAAAAAGCAAGCAGACAAGAAAGATGTATGCACTGTGGTTTCCCTGCAAAGGGAGAAAGTCGGAATGACCTGTCTTTGCAGACACTGTTACCGTTCACAATGCTACAGCTGGGGGTGGGTTACTCTTACAGCCAGGCGTCATAAAGAGAGTAATTTTAAAAAATTTATCCCAAAGAGAGCCACTCAAGGGGACGCCTGGGTGGCCCAGTCGGTGAAGCGTCTGCCTACGGCTCAGGTCCTCATCTCAGGGTCCTGGAATGGAGTCCTGCATGGGGCTCCCTGTTCAGCAGAGAGCCTGCTTCTCCCTCTCCCTCTGCTGCTCCCCCTACTTGTCCTCTTTCTCTCTCTCTCTCAAATAAATAAGCAACATCTTTAAAAAAAAAAAAAAAAGCCACTCAACTTCCCCCGAAGACTGGACGGGCCAGGGTGGACGGCGGGAACCGCACCCTGACACCTGCTCTTCCCTGGGCCCCGCCCCCAGCGTGGCTCGCAGGCCGCTGGGAATGGGCGGGGGCTGCGCAGGCGCGGCGGCAGGGGGCGGGGGCGGGGGCGGGGCGGGGCGGGGCGGGGGCGGGGCCGGCACTCACTCCGCCTCCACCAGGTTGCTCTGCGTGGCCTCCTTCTCCTCCTGCAGCTGGTTCAGCCTCTCCTGCATCTCGATGGTCTCCTTCTCCGAGGCCTGCGCGAGGACAGGGTCGCGGCCGGCTGGGCGGGGACCCCGGCGGACGCAGGGCCCACCGTGTGCCCTCCCCCCCCCGTGCGCGCCCCCGCCCCCCGAGCCCGGAGCCCGCGCGTGTCGCACCTTGAGCGCGCGCACGAACTCCTTCTCGGTCACCAGGTTGTCCTGCTGCAGCCCCTCAGAGCTGCTCCGGTTCCTGCTCATCAGCGCGCTGAGCTTCTTCAGGTCGTTGTCCAGGTCCTTCATGCGGCGCTCGATCTCCTTTTGCTCCTTCTTCTCCTGGTCGATCTTGTCTGCAGCGGAGAGGACGCGGGGGTGGCCGTGCTCCCAGAGTAGCCCCCACCGCAGTCAGGGCCCTGCGGGCCAGAGGGAAGCGACCTCTCTCTGGCCGCTCCGTTGCCAAAGCCTGGCCCTCCGAGACACCGGAAAGGACCGCTGTGTGGACAGCCAGCAGGT